AATATTTTTTAATGTTAAAAGTGAAAATCGTGGAAAAGAGATGCATTTTCATAAGTTGATTTTTTTTATTTCCAGAAAGGAGAAGAATGCTCTACAAATAGCAAAATGATATGTGTCATTTATTGAGATGGTGGCTTATCTGAGAATACTGTTCATAAATGGTTCACAAATTTTGATCTGGAATACCGAGAATATTTTAGCAGGGTATAATTAGTGTTTTAATTTGATCATTATAATTGCCAAATCAAAACACCAATTAAAAATAATCTAGTTCACATGGCACAAGACAAACAGAGAATCTTGCCATATTTCATATAAGTGTTCCAACACATTTGAATATCCTTGGATAGATGAATTGCTGTTTACATGCCTCACATTTTAATAGAAAAAAATGTGCTGAACCACATTTCTATTTGTTATTCTCTGCTCAAACTCAACTAAAATGATCAACTTTTTAAAAGAATAATCATAGGCAATGAAAAATGGAATGTTTGCAACAATGTGGAGTGAAAAATGTTCCTGGTGAAATGAAAAGAACTATTAACCCCTTCAAAAGTTAGTCTTCATCCAAAAAAGGTGATGCTATTTATCTGGTGAGATTGGGAGTGCATTGTGTATTACACTCTCATTGTTCAAAATCAGATGTTGAAGCCAGTCAAGAACTGTGTCCAATTAGACTAATTAAAAACAGCAATTGATGAAAAGCATCCAGAATTGTCCAATCCATTTGGATGTCATCCACCATCTGGATAATACCAAACCTCAGCTCTTTTTGCAAACCTGGCAGAAATTGGTACAGCAAGACTGGGATGTCCTACTACATCCACTGCATTCACCTGACTTTATACCTACAGATTACCACTTATTTCGATCTATACAAAATTCTCTTAATGGAAAGAACTCCAATTCTTTGGAAGCCTGTAAAATCCACTTAGACCAAATCATCACCCAGAATGATACCAAAGTCTGGGAGGATGGAATCATGAAGCTGCTTCAAAGATGGCGAAATGTAATGGAATAAAATGACCAATATGTGGTTAATAAATCTATGTTCAAATATGTAAATACTATCTTTGAAATTCAATTAAAAAATGTGGTGAACTTTTGTTCCATCTCAGTATACATTAGTATAGTTACCGATATTTCTTTTTTAATTACCGACATATAAAATTGCCATAATAGAGATATAATCTTAAAAGATAAACATGATATTTTTAAAGCTATTGAGTGGCGTGAATGCAATGCTAGAAAAGTGTAAAAAAGTTGAACAGACATCAGAGAATAATAAAAAAAAGAGATTAAAAACATTGGTAAGATAAAAAAACCTGGTTTTAAGAATCTCTCACTTTCTCTCTCTCTCTCTCTATATATATATATATATATATATATATATATATATATATGTGAGTGCGTGTTGTATGTGTGTAAATATTAATATAATCAAATGGGTAAATGTAGGTAAATGTACAAGCAAGCATTCATATACCAATGCATATATATATATATGCATATATATATATATATATATATATATATATATATATATATATATATATATATACACACACACACACACACACACACACACACACACACACACACACACACACATATATATATATATATATATATACTCTAGAGTGTAAGAAAAAGCAGTGCTTAATATTAAATAACAGAGCTATTTAATATATTAAAAAATATACAAAAATACCCTACGTGGAATGCACAACTTGCAAATAGCATGAGACTCTGAGTTGTGCATTCAGTGTAGGGTATTATATGTATGCTTTTAATATATATATATATATATATATATATATATATATATATATTTTTTGTGTGAGTGTTTGTGTAAAAATTCAGATATTAATAAAATGTATCTCTAAAGACAATTGTAATAAAAATAATGACAAGAGAAAAAACCTTTTATACTGTCATGGGTTGTTCTGGTGATGCATTGGTCTTGTCTGAATGTACTTCTTTTTTAATATACAGGGTACGATGGGTAAGTTGTCGCCATTTTATATTTTTAATTTTGTGCATGTACATTGTTTGTGTTTGATTTTTTTCAATTGCACAGTATAGTAGGGTTAGTTGGGCACCATCTGTGAGAAAAAGACCTCCTTGACAAAATTCACTTCGCAAGAAATTTGAAAATGGCATACTGTACTGCTTGGCATTCATGCCGGAAGATCCAATATAAACATTTCAAAGTGTTTGGGTGTCAATCTGAGGACAGTGCAGAGAATTCAGAAAGAGTTGGATGAGTGATGGTAATTATGAAGGTGTTTGAAGTGATCACTAGTGATGCTGATGTTATGCCTTCATTCATCTTACCACAGGGCCTCAAACTCAACACTGAGGCCTATATCAAGTACCTTGTGGAGGTAGTTCTGCCCTGTGTCAAGTGGGTGGCTGCTGGAAGACCCTATGTCTGGCAACAGGACTCTGCACCATGCCACATAAGCAGGAGAACCCAGTCATGGCTGTCAGACAATTTCTGTGACCTTAGATATGGCCCCCTAACTCCCCAGACTGCAACCCACTTGATTATTATGTGTAGAGTGAAGTTGAGCGAGAGACCAACGAAACTCCTTGTAACACCAGAGATGAACTGAAGGCAAGCATTATGGCAGCATTCACCAACTTAAACAAGGAGACCATCCAGAAGAGTTGCAGGAGATTCCAAAGTTGTCATTGAAACCAATGGTGATTTTATTGAATAAATTTACTCTTTAGTACTTCAAGATATTTTTGTGTAATTTTGGTAAATATATCTGATATAGTAAAGGTTACATCATTTTGACGGGTTGTAAGCTGTTGATGTTTTTATTACTTTCCATGTTATTTTTGGTCTGTTTTGTTAATTTTTGTTACCATATATGTTTTGAGAGGGTTGTACGATTTGCACATTTTTTGTTGCTTTATGATGTTTTGTGTGAGTAGCTTCTTTGTAGAAGCTTATAGTGAAATCACACTAACAACATTGGTTCTTGCTCAATCACTGAAGTTAAGCAGTGTGAAGCATGCTTAGTATTTAGATGGCGAACCACTTGGGAACAACAAGTACTGTAAGTAATCTCCTACATTCCAAAATATGTTTTAGATAACCCAGAAAGGATTGAAAAGCCATAAAGATCAGATCAATCAATTATTTCCATGGACCTTCATTTATTTCTATATATATTTTTCTGGGTTTCCTTTAACTATTTGGAGCTTAGTATATTACATTATTTTGTAGACAGTTAACATTTAGTGGGCTTCTGTACTTTGTTTCACAGTTAGAGATGGGGTTAGGTGAGTTTTCTGTTCTTTTTATGAGTTGTAGTATATTTTTTATCTAAAATTTTTAAAAAATAGTCTAATTCTATCGATAAGCCATCCAATGTTTAACTTAAAGCAAGTTGGTATGATGATGTTGTTATAATATCTTTCTTATCATTGTCATTCCTTGTTTGATATTTTTATACAATAAGAATTTAGCAAAGATAACCAGGATAAATCACAGGTCATAAATATTCACTTGGCACTTTCATACTTCTGTTTGTTACTATGTATGCATGTGTAAGTGCTACCATAAAAAAGTCCTCTAAAATGGGATGAAAGCCTCTGATTGATAATCAAAATTCATATAGCAGCAGCTACCCTATCAATGGGACCAAGCATGCTTCAACTATATCCTCTAAAAGAGGACATCTTCTTGGTAGATGCTTGCAAACTCAACCAATGTTTACCTACAGACTCAAATATAAATATCACCAAGATTTTCCTATAAACTTTATTATAAGAAAAATCAAACTTTGACATTAAATAACCCAACAAGTGTTGATATGTCATAAAATTTACCAGCCCAGACTAACTCATAAGAGTAGTTAATCTTCTCATTGCTATACTTGAATCATTAAACTGATATAAATATATATTGGCTTCTATATGTATATTTTAATCACCCCAATGCCACTAAGACACAAGTTTTACTGAGAGTGAAAGAGAATAAAAAAACTTTAGAAGGAACCAGAAAATGCAATCCTCAACAGGAAACAAGAGATAAACCTGTTCAAAAGACCAGGGAGAATTGTGAATGGGACAATAGGCAAACCTAACTATTTCTGTGAGTTACACATGTACACACACATAAAGTTAAGTGCCATGAATAATACTTGCTTTGGTGATCATGTCTTTTTCAATTCATGAAGAAGATTTCTTGCAGTAGGATACCATTCCTTTCTGTGGTAAACTGGTTACTGAACAAGGCTATAGGAACCAGTTTGTCCTGCTATTCCACCAATAGCTGAAGGGAGAATGAATGAAAACATAGCTTTCACAAGGGTATTTGCACATAAGTGTATGTAATGAACCTGACTGGAATTTGAACTCTCCAATTTCTTATTCTGATCCATTATCAATTATCCCACATCCATCCATATATATATATATATATATATATATATATATATATATAATACATGTATTTACTCACATAAATGCTAAAAAATGCATATAATCAGGCTTACCGAGAGAAACACAGTGAGAGATGAAAATGCTAAATGTAAGTACATTTCTGTATATGAACATACACTATGTAAAATATTATAATGAAAGTTAATGTTTTCACAATAAACTATAAATGGTATTAACCAAGCAATGTGGGTAAAATTTTCAATATGTAGTTATATTCATATGGGCAAATATATTGTGTGATTTTCAGCTCATAATATCTATCCATATTAAAATGATTTATAATAACTTGTTTTGAACTTCTATTGATTGATTTGTTTTTTATGGATTATCAAACATTTGATGGTTATTTAAAGCTAGAAGATATTTTTAGAGAATTTTTTAGAGATAAAGATGTTTTACTGATATAAATCATACAAAAGAGAAGAAGTGGATTCATAGCTTTCTCAAGGGTATTTGTGCAAATGAATATAATGAACCCAACTGGAATTGAAGCTCTGCTCTCTGATTTCCAATTCCGAGCCATTATCCATTATACCAAGCTTACGGCACCTGGTATTCCCAAATGGTTACTCATCTAGGTACTGACCAGATGTGAAATTGTTTAACTTTGGTGATCATATGAGAACCAGTGTTTCAACATGATATGGCTGTAAGCCAACAAACAAGCGACACTGGCTCAAATCACCTTCACCTTCAATGTACCAGACACATATTCAGTGGGTCAGTATAGCATTCTTTAGATTTCATGGGATATAGGAACATCAGACCCACCAGGATACCCTATCAAGAGACTAGATACAATGTCTCATCTGGAATCATGACATTTTAAGTTTAATCCTGGGGGACTGGCATATGTGGCATGGTCCAATGAGTGATAGTTCCAGTTATTTCAGACTAATGGTATGATTGGTACATGAGGTTATGGAACCCAGTTGTCAATAAAACCTCATGCTGAGTGGTGGTAGTTTCATAATAGTGTGGAGTGTTTATATGGCATGTGTTGGATCCACTGATTCACCTGCACATGTCATTGACTGGTGACTGCTACATTGCACAGCTTTGTGATTTGTACCCATTCATTAAACTTTCATATATCCCAACAAGAATGGATTATTTCAACAGGATAATTCCCAGAATTGGTTTTGAGGAAAATGTCCAACAAATGATGAAGTCCCCACATTTAACTTGACCTGAGCCAAACAGAGCATTTATGGGACATGGTGGAGGGGGTCTGTTCATATACAAGATTCTGTACCTACCAATATCAGGAAGTTGTTGACAGATATCAAGACTGTATGGCTCAATATCTCTCCAGGGAATCTCTAAACACTTGTGGAAGTGATGCCATGTTGATTTGCACTTCTTTTCTAAGCTATAGTACATCCTACACAATACTAGGCACCAATCCTCATAACTTTTGGCATTTATCAGTCTATATCATTATATATATATATATATATATATATATATATATATATATATGCTTATTATATCGTATTACATTCAAATACATGTAAAACCACTACATAAATGCATTCATGTTTCGATGCATATCATCACATCTCAACAGGTTGTGTATATATATATATATATATATATATATATATATATATATATATATATATATATATGCTAGTCAATGATGCATTATGAGTAGTAAGGTCTATTATATTATCCTAACAGTTATTGGGTGGGCAGTAATGGCTATGTTTGAAATTAGTCTATTGGCTATTGATAAGAATATTTGTGGATCTGAATGCAGTTATTTGTAGCTATTTTATAGTGTTGTTATTTTTTTACTGATTATTTGTTATTGATTATTTAATTATTTGTTGTAGATTATTATTATTATATTTATATGTGTTTAGGTGTTCATTCTTAGTTTGTTAATTTGTTTATTATTTACTTAATTTATCTATTTATTCAAATTTCTGGTTTGTGTTATTTTTTTTCTTGTAGGTTGGTTATCTTATTCATTTAGTTTAAGGTATTGCCATTGTCTGAAGTATGTTGTATTAATTCCATTGCATATAGAGCATGTATTTGCATTTATCATTGTGGTATCTTACAAGGTATTCATTTTAAATTTTAAATTTTTAAGTAAGATAGTAAAAAATATTCATGTCTGCATTTAGAGATAAGTTCTGATCATTTATTTAGTAATTTGTGTTGGTCTGGAAAAGTGATTATAGCTATTTTCTCCTCCAGACAGAGTTTACAGTTTTTGGATTTACTGTTGTAGGTTGATACGGTGTAATTTGTTTTTAATTTCCCATATATGTTTAGAAAGCTTTGTGCTGTTCATATATTTATATTTATATACATTCTATCTCTGATATTGAACAATTTTACCCATAAATATAGCAACCATAAAAGTTATATTTTCATTATATATATATATATATATATATATATATATATATATATATATATATATATATATATATATATATATAAAAAAACATAGTTTTAAGGTATGGTATATTTATGGGTAAATGTGCTCAGTATCAGAGATAGAGCGTATGTAAATATAAAAGTGTCCATTGAGGTCAATACCCAGTGGAAACAGTCTATTTCAGGCTTAAACACAATCTTGTCTGAAGTTATTATGCAAATCAAATAAACCTCAATAACTCAAAAAGTTTTGAACCAATATATGTCAAATTTAAACTCATCCATTTCCACCCTTAGTTAAATATTTAACTAAATTTTCTACCATTTTTAATGGTTAGTTTTTGAGATATGGAATTTATGAAAATAAACTGACTGAAGTTAGTATGCAGATTAAATTAATATGAGATTAAGACCTCTTGAGATCTAACAACTGCTGAAAAACAGTTAACGAGTGAGAGAATGTACACATTGGAGATATCAAAGGAGCTTTGCAGAGAACATCAAAACATAAAGAAGGTTGTTGAAAACTCAAAGCAAAGGAAAAGGCTTTAAGAACTTGTTTCCTCAAAATGAATGTAAACTAAAGTGTGTTATAGCAGAATAACCACTTTAGACCAGTGCTCAAAAAAACATTAACAAAATCATTGGATAACAGATAACTGGCTGTTATTGAGAAGGGTCACTATATTAAAATATAAAGGATTCAAAGGCTTATCATACATGTTTGTTATTTGTTGATCAACTTTTGATGATTTTATTACCTTTTTATTGTAGTAAAATGTGATTATTTGGCTTTGCCTAATAACTTCAAACTGCAGTTTTTTTTTAGAATACATCAAATAACTTCAATAACTTCAATAAAATATATTGATACTACCTAAAATTTTAACTCGGGTTTTGTTTTGACATCTAAATTGATTGTTTAGAATTTGAGGGTTTTTTTTTCGAACCAAATTTGAATCATTGATGTTTATATGATTTGCTTAAATAACTTCAGACAATGTGTAGATAGGTAGGTGGTAAATATATAAGATAATTTGGAAAATATTTACTTTGACATTTCACCAATGAACCAATATAATCTTGTTATAGACAAGCGTATGGTTGCAAGTAAGAAATACGACAACAGTAGAAATAGATTTACGTTGTTTATTTCAACAGGAACATGAGGGTGTGGGACAGCTACCTTGTGGTAAAGTTCATAAGCCGGCTTTCGGATCTAGGTCAATCTCTCATAGTAGTTCACACATGTTGAAGGTGGTTGGTGCTCTCCTGCTGACAGCTGCTGAACTCTCGGCCTGACCATGACAGCTCTCCTTTGTGGCCACCTGTTGACTGCCTGTTGAACTTCCGTGTGACCCCTTTTTTTATGGCTTAACAGGCTCGAAAAACTAAGTGAGTATAATTAGGAGGAAAGCATTTTTATTGGATGAAAAATAGATCACTTTAAATATTATTTTATTTTTCGACTGGAACACGTGTTTTGGGAACATTTGTAAAGAAAGATAATGGTCATTTTGTGACGGGGCTTTCTGGTTCTCGCTCTTGAGTATTTGCCTGTAAATCAGCCGAGATATGTCTTATTTTATTTTATAACAATCTGAAAAATAATTTTATTTTACAAGAACAAAATTTACATTAGGGGAAATAAAATTTGATACCTGCTGAATGACTGACTTTCACATTATGTATCATTATAGAAATGAAATTTTAACTGATTTTGACTCAGATTTTATTTTTATTTATGGTTTTTTCAAGATTATTATATATCACGCATTGTTTTAGAACATGGTATAAACTAAAATAACCCAGTTGTGTCAAAGATCACAACAATTCATCTTTGAACCAATTATATTTACTTTTTATTAAAATACCCATTTTCCAGGTCAAAATTATATTTACAAAGGTTTCCATGGCACACATGTGCATTAAGTGTGTCATTTAATTTCAAGTCTCTTTTATGTTTATATATTCTTTTCATTAAAACTTGGGAGATTTTTGGGGGGAGAATTTTTAGAATTCTATTTCATAGACTCCTTCTTCTAATATAAAATTAACTCTCTATTTTAAGTAGATTAAGTTGTTAAATGCTTTTGAAGTGTTTGTGATAATATAAATATGATCCACGGTTTCAACTTTCTTAAGTCATCATCATTAAATAGAAACAAATGGTGAGTCTTGTAACATAGGCAAAGAGTGTTATGATATAGACAAATTGTCACATGTTTGTTTAATTTTTTTTATATACATTTGAGGATATGTGCTCTTGAATTATAATTGTTTTATTTCCATTATTCGGACTATTGTCCTCATTTTTGTCGCCATATTTATCACAACGTTTCAGCCGTTGTATGCTCCGGCCTTCTTCAGGTGGTTGGAATGTCAAACTAAACCCTTTATTTTGCTCACTGGGGTAGACTGTTCTAGTTCCACGTGCCATGTTTGATGGATGTCAGTTATCAGTTATCTCCTGTTAATTTCCCTCTAGAACAGTCTACCCCAGTGAGCGAAATAAAGGGTTCAGTTCGATATTCCAACCACCTGAAGAAGGCCAGAGCATACAATGTTGGAAACATTATGATAAATATGGTGGCAAAAATGAGGACAATAGTCCGAATAATGTAAATAATGTACATAATACCTCATCTCAGAAATATAAACAGACTATAATTGTTTTTATTTATAGATGGCTGTTTCTGTTGTATGAGTATTGCTTTGAGAATCATAAATCTGTTTGTACTATTAGATTTTGCTTGTATTTTGGTATTGTTTGTGAGTAGATGTCTAATGTTACCTCATGCTTATCCTTATGTTGCTTATTAATGTGTTGTGTGATGGCACTCAGGTCCGATAGATGGCAGGTGAGACTCCATGAGAGTGTGGTTGTGGTATCTCCTATGCAAGACGCTTTGTGTCTTTTATTTATAGAGAAACGTTCCCCTAGTGGGCAAGTATATTCATACACAACATTGGTCTTATATAGAGGGATGGAAGTTTGGGATATATTATTTTTAATAACTAGGTTGCTAGTTTTGAATTTTTGTAGTAAATAATGATTCTGATGTATTCATTTTTACTGGATGATTTTATATATCTATGTATGATGATTTTTTTATTGTAGTAAAGAACATTTGCTGCCTAAATACACAGAAAAAAAACATAATATACATATATACTTGTTTGCTAAGTTTTTAAAAAGTTCTTGAAACATGAATTTTATCCATTTATTAACTTTTGGTGTTCCAAATATGTTCTTGT